ACCTCAATTACTCTATTGAATTCTATAGCAAAATAGAAACAACATTTCATATGATTTTGAGCTCATCATCGAACTCAATTTCAAACTTGACAGTGAGCATGTCATTATCTTCGGTTGATACGGGGTTCTTATCTTTGGACTTGACCATTGTTAACTGAGGGATAAAGAGTCTTTCTTTCATGGGCTTCTTCATCACTTGAGCCACTGTTAGATGTAGGAATTTAACATTGTCAATTGATTCTTTAGCTTTAAAGGCAATTTTTTTCTTTCGATGGTACCACTTCCATTGTGTTTTGGTCATAGGATTCTTACCTATATAGTTCTTAGAACCATAAGAGTAGTTCTTTGAAACCTGAGATTTGTCATTGTATGGTGAGCCTTAACCTATTTTGACCACTTTCCACTTTTGTTGATTAACATTAGGCTTGACATTGGGTCGAATCCATTGGTTAGAAGGCACACTTACAGGTGGCACATATATCTTCTTCTAGTTATTCCAATGGCATGGGGGCCCTTGATATTTATGGTAAGGGGCCCCCTTTGGGATTTGTCAAAGGTAAATTTGAACCTCCCGTCGACCCAAGGCCTCTTTTTTGGCTACTGAAGCTTGACTTCTTTGAGACCCTTCGTTGTTTCCTTGTTGAAATCTGCGCTACAACGAGGGTACAACATCCCTTTTAAATCTTTGATCTTGCAATGATTCAGAAAATCAATCAAGTCCTCTTCATCTTTTGGATACACCTCCTTGACTCTTTTAGTGTAATTTGCCACATTCATCTCTCTGACCCTTTGATTGGGATCCTTTGGAATTTGACCATCATAATCTCCACAGGTTCAACAAAGTTTACCTCCTTGACTTGCAAGGGGCCTGATTCAATTTCCATTGGTGGCTTACGTTTATCACCAAACTTAAGCATACCTTTTTTCAAAGCTTCTTGTTCCAAATCCCTAAAAATAACACATTGAGAAGTTTTATGACCAAGAAAATTATGATATTTACAAAAATCTTTTTTCCTCCTTTGTTCCAATGGTGGCATTTTTGGGCCTTTAGGCACTATGAATTGAGCATCAACAACTAGAAGATAAAAAATTTCATCACATTTATTTACATTAAAAGTATAAGTTTTTATTTAAAAAAAACTCATTCCTACTTGGTTCAACATGATTTTTTTTCCATTAGGAGGCCTTAAAACTTTACAAACATATGTAGGCCATGGCGTTAACTCTGCTAGATTAACCTCATTTTCTTCGACACACTTAAAAACTACATAAAGTTCTTAATTATGATCATATGTTTCTATATAGGATATCTTTTCCTTCTAGGGTGTTAATTTGATATAGCCTTTTCTGCCTTTAGGTGTTCGACTTGCCTAACCATATCTACTAATTGGGCCATATCCCTTAGGCATTAGGTATCCAACTTCTTTCTAATGAAATAATCTAAACTACCTGCAGCCATTTTGACTAATTCATGTTCAGGCACTTGAATAAATCACCTTGAATTCATCAACCCAAACCTATTGAGATAATCATTTATCTATTCCGACAATTTTTTCTTCACACTAGCTAACTCTTTTAGGCTAATTTTTTACTAAACCATATAAAACTGATCATGAAACACCCTTCCTAGTTAATTTTAATGATGTGTGGAGTGAGAGTAGTGAACCATGTGAAATCATTCTTAGTTAAAGAATTAGGTATGTATTTCATCTTTACATTTTCATTATTAGCTAAATCACTGACTTCTAACTAGTATCGAGCAATATACTCGACAATAGACTCACTAGTATCGCCTGTAAAATTAGCAAACCTAGGAACTTTCTAGCCCTGGTGGAGTTCAACTTGCAAAACCTATTCAGATAAGGCAGAGACACAATTTGGCCTATGAAGACCAACATTAAGACCATTTTGGGCTAGGACTTGTTCAACTATATTGGCTATGTTATTTTACCTTCCCCCCCACTCCAAAAAAATATTTTTTTTTGTTGGACTATCCTAACCACTAGATACATATCTTGGTTCCTAATAACCAATACCACATCTGGGTCGTTTCGACCTAGGTCTCCCTCGATTATCCTGTGTATAGGTTGTTCGACCAGCTGAGACATCACCCGTTGTTGCACTTGATTATTAGGAACCCCTTCATTATTTGCAACTCCTGGATTTTGGTCTGCTCTAACTATTTCAATTTGAGGAACTGTATGAATGGGGGTTTGAGGAGCACCAAAGAAATCAGAAATTCGACCCCTTTAATAAGATAATTATTTATAACTATGATTATCATTTTGGATTAGAGGATTAAACACAATACCAATTTGTTGGGTAAGCATATTAACCATCTCATGGTTATTATCATCCATTTGTTGCCTTATAGTCAAGATAGAACTAGTAGTTAAAGGTGGTATAACCCGATGGATATATCCTAATCATCCATAGGATTGACCCATTCAACTAGGATTACTTATGGAAGATTCTGATGCCAGGAGAGACAACAACCATTACATTATCTACATACATAGACATGTTAGTTTATAGGCATGCTATCAATGATATTGGCATGTCGTATGGACATTCCTTACCACCAAGGGAAAGCATAAAGCCCAGAAGGAATGGAGGCCTAGTGTCTCCTATAGTGTTTTGTGCAACCCCATAGTAGTTGGAAAACTGGTTGTTTATAGTGGGGGACCACCACCTCTTGTGTTGTGGTCGAAACTAACATTTGACTTATGGCGGGAGAAAATACTTCAATTGTTGTTGAAGTACTTGTACCACCAACCACCGTTCTGATTGGTATTTCATCTACATTTGGAGCGTTGTTCTGGGGAAATGATGAATTTTTTGATGATTGACGAGACATCTTAACAAGTTTTCCATAACTCAGATGCATAAACACTCAACGATTGAAACCATTTTCATGTGTGAAGAACGTAAAATGTGTATAACTTTCTATGAAAATATGAATTGGTGATATGCACTTAACATTTTTATATCTCTTATATCACACATTCACGTCAAAATGCCAAGCTAAAAATCCCAGGCTAACAACAGGATATGGCGGAGACGGTTTTTACATTCCATGTTCTCAAATTTGACTATTTGATAATTACCCATTCACCATTATGATTTTCGATTGGGATAAATAACTATAATTCAAACTCGTCCCAAACGAATTCGAATATCCCTACCCCAAACCCAAAATCCATCTCAAACCCTAATTAAAAATAAAATACATTCCATATCATAAAGTAAACATTCTAAAAAAAACTTTCAAACATACATTTTCATTATTTTGAATAATGAAATACATATAAAAAAACATCAATGTATGTACCATTAACAATATGACTAATATTCTAAAAAGAAAAACCAAATAATCTAAATTATCAAAACAAAACAAAAGTGCAAATGGTATTCTAAACTACCATCAAAACACCATGCAACCAAGAATATATTAAGTTACCATCAAAATAACCACTTAACCACAAACATTTTACTTCATCAATCATCGAAATTGTCATCACAAGTAGATAAGTTGACAATTTTAAGATAAATGGCGAGGAAAGATTTCTCTGTGATCTAATTTTTACTAAAGAGGGAGTGATCGACATCTTCACCATTGAACTTTTCTCTTTTCTTTATTTTGAAAATGTTTTGTGGTTAAAAAAATTTCATTCCATTTTGACTTTATGAAGACCATTCATTTCCCAAACCAAGTGTGTTTAGAGAAGAGTGTAAATAGGTAATATCATCCCTATTACTTGACTTGCCTCCACTTTTTTTAAAACAATAACTTTTTTTTAACCACTAATATATTAAATAAAAATAAAAATAGTACAAAATATTTAGGGGGAAAAAGTAGTTAGTAATTCAAACAAAATAGAACTATTACAACAATGGTCTAAAATAAGTAAAAACATATGCAACAAGACACTACCTAGCGAACTTGCGTACAAAATTAAATAGAAAAAATATTGTATGAGTTTTCACAAACTTTAATTAATGGTGAATGAATCGGTCGCCAACACGAACCATTTCATGTCAATCTCGAAGCATATTTTTAAAGCAAGAAAAAACTTTAACCACTAATAAATTAAATAAAAATAAAGATAGTACAAAATACTGAGAGAGTAAAGTAAAACCTGACTCAGTCAAATCATATCAAAAGTAGTTAGTATTTCAAATAGAATACAATTATTACAATAATAATCTAAAAGAAATAAAAACTCACACAACAAGATACTACGTAACGAACTTGCAGACAATAACCAAACCAGTTAAACTCATTTTAAACTAAGTTTTCCTTCAAATTCTAAGGGACAGATACACATGAATATTAATTTTGATGTCATGTCTAGTTTTAACTACAATTGTTCTGTTAGTAGTTAAAGTGCTAAACCAAGTACAACACTTTGTTGCTAACTAAAGTACTTAACCAACCAAGACAAAAGTCAAAATCTTTATAAGTTGGAACAAAAGAAAAAGGAAAAATATAATTTTCGTCCCTTAACTAGCTCGGGGGTTCATTTTGTTCCTTTAATTTTTAAAATGTTTAAATCAGTCCCTTAATTATTTAAAATGGGTCATTTTAGTCCTTCCGTAAGTCTCCGTTAGTGAGGTTTGAGTAAGAGTGTCCATGTGACTATGACGTGGCTTGTTATACCTTACATGGCCTTGACCTGACATTAACCTTATATGTTATGTTATTGTTCAGCGTGACATTTTAAGAAAGACAAGTGAAAAAGTGAAGAAAGTAACGAAAGCAAACCTATTGAAAGTTTGAAGGAAAAAATAATCAATCCAGAAAGTGTTTGAGTTCGAGCAAAAGGTTAAAGAAGGATTTTGCAAACATGTTAGTTTGTTGTTCATTTGTATGAGTTTTATGTGTGTTATATTTTCAATCTGAGAATTTAGGGTTTCCTAAAAAATTAGGGCTTTTTATTTTTTCAATATTTTCCAATTATGGTTTTTAATAATATGGATTATGAATATGAATAGGTGTAATGGAGGAGTTTATAGTACTAATAATTTATCATAGTGGTGAATTCATTAATGGTGACCTTAGAGTATATGAAGGAGGGAAAGTTGATGAGCTGAAAGTAGATGTGAACAGATGGAGTTACTTTGAGTTGATAGGTACACTGAAGGACTTAGGTTATATGGATTTTGATAAAATCTATTACAATGACTCGGCATTTGGGATGAACTCATTGAATGATGATGCAGGTGCATTAAAAATATTTGATATTTATAGGGTTCACCTAGGTGTAGACATTCAAATTCAACACAAACTTGATCAACCTAATTACTATGACGGGCCTATAGAAACAAAATTAGGAAATGGTGACAATGTGAATGAGGGGCCTGGTGTGGTTGAGGACGTGCTTTCTAAATTGTATGAAGAAGCAGTCGATGGAAATGATACTTGCAAAGAAGCTGAAAATGTTGGTTAGCCTATAAAAACAGAATTGGTTGCTCTGTTGGTTTGGATGCTTAAAATGTTGGTTTGGATGCTTAAAATGTTGGTTTGGAACTTCCTACATCAGCAGAATTGGATGCTCAGAATGTTGATTTGGATGGGTCTATAGAAATAGAATTGGATGCTTAAAATGTTGGTATGGATGCATATAGTGTTGGTATGGATGCACATAGTCTTGGTATGGAAGGTGGTGAGGTGGATGATGGTCTAAGTAGTCATGATAGTAAAGATTATTTGTACAAGTATGATAGTGCTCTAGAGGTAGCTTTTGATGATTCTTCTTATGGTTTTGATGATATAGATGAAGATGAGTTGGCAAATCTACTTGAACATGAACAACTTGATGAGGGACAATAAAAAAAACAAAAAGAGAAATAGGAAGAAGACAAGGGTGAATTTAAAGTGAGTGGTAATGAAAGTGATGAGCTAGTGAGTGGTTGTGATAGTGATGATAATTGTGGTGTTCAAAAAAAGGCTCACCCAATGTTTAAGATGCAAAAGGACATGGCTGATTTCAAATGGGATGGAGGTGTGTACTTTATTTCAAAAGACGATTTTAAGGAAGCAATAACATCATATGTTGTCCATAGTGGTAGAAATCTTAAGTTCAGTAAAAATGACAAGGTAAGGGTGAGGGTAAAATGTAAGGATGAGTGTGATTGGGAAGCTTATTATGCCAAATTTTCAAATGAAGAAACTTGGCAATTAAGAAAGGTGAATGATGTATATAGTTGTAGCATGGATTATAGTGTGAAGACGATGACTACCAAGTGGCTGAGTAATAGGACCCAAAACTCCTTAAAAATTAATCCTAAGATGAAAATAAAGGATATAAAGGCAAAGGCACAAAAAATGGAATGTAGGTGTGAACAAAACTAAGGCAATAAGAGCAAGGTTTAAAGCTAGAGATTATGCTGGTGGATCATTCTTAGGGGATTACACCAGAATATATGATTATTATCATGAGTTGTTGAAAGCAAACCTAGGATCCATAATGAAGCTTGTTGTTGAACCTAATCAAGAAGGTTCAGATAATCAAAGACCATATTTTAATATGTTATACATATGCTTTGCTGCATGTAAGGAAAGCTTCAAGTTTTTTAGGCATGTCATAGGACTTGATGGCTGTTTTCTTAAGGGGCTATGTGGTGGGAAAATTATGGTTGTTGTAGGTAGAGATCCAAATGATCAAATGCTACCTATAACATTTTTAGTGGTGGAATGGGAAAATAAGGACACTTTGACATGGTTCTTGGAGTTACTGATTGATGACCTTGGAGGAAAAAATGAATGCCTCACATACAAATTCATTTCTGATAAACAAAAGGTATGTGCAAATTATTATATTGATTTCATTTACAAATTTTATAGTCTTGTGTGTACATCATAGTATTAATGTTATTGGCTGTTTTGCAGGGTTTACTACCAACCATGGATGAACTTTTGCCTAATGTTGAGGAAAGGTTTTGTGTTAGGCACTTGTACAATAATTTCAGAAATAAATATTCTGAGAAGATGCTAAAGGAAATAATTTAGAGAGAGATGAAGGGAATGAGGTTGATCAATGAAGAAGTATATCTTTATATGAGGGAGACACCTCCAAGATTTTAGAGTAGATCTTATTTTAAGGGAACTAACAAATGTGATGATGTGCTCAATAACATGTCAGAATCTTTCAATAGTGTTATTCTTGACTCAAGTCCAAACCCTTAGTCACCATGGTGGAAGAGATTAGAACATATTGTATGGAAAGATGGGCAACAAATTGAATGAGGTTTCAAATTTTACCTGATGATAGTGTCTTTAAGGTTAGACATTTTAAAAATGCTGCAAACATATTTGATGTGAATTTAAAAGAAAGAACATGCTCTTGTAGAAGGTGGCTTCTAACTGGATTGCCATGTGTTCATGCACTGTCATCTATGAAAAGCAGGAACTTCAAGATTGAAGAATACATCCCTGATTATTATAAGAAGTCAATGTACATGAAGGTTTACTCACCTGTGATCTATTCTATAATTGGAGCAAATATGTGGGTGAGAATAGAATATCCAGATGTGCAGCCTCTTAAATATATGCCTGGAAGACCAAAGAAAAGAAGAAATCTTGAGCAAGGTGAGCTGGATGGGACTGAAAAAAAGACGAGGAGAACAAGGTTTGTTATTAGATGTTCTAGGTGCAAATATCAAGGGCACAACAAATTAACTTGTAAGGTGACACCAATTACTCAAGGAACTCCACAAAATGCTCAAGGTTCTCAGCAAACTCAAGGCACTCCATAACATGATGCTCAAGGAAATCAGTTAACTGTTGCTCAACAACCACAAGGTACACATGCTGCTCAAGGAAGACAACCAATTGTTGAAGGCACACAAGGATCTCAAGTGTCAAGAACTAGAGGCACACAAGGTTCTCAATAGCCAAGAACTAGAGGCACAACTGCTACTCAAGTATCAACACTAGGAAGGCCAAGTAAGTTGGGTGTTAGGAGGCCATCAACACCATTTGTTCCTTCTGGACCTACTACAAGACTAAGTGCAACCAAGAATGTGATAGGCCCAACTACAAGGAGGACAACTCCAACTAAGAGGACCACATCCAAGAAAAAAAACTTAGATTTTTTTAGGAACTAGTTACTGTCATTTTGTGTTATGCTTACGTTTGTCATTTTGGAATAAGTTATTGTCATTTTGCAACAAGTTACTGTCATTTTGTGTAATGCTTATGTATGCCATTTTGGAACAAGTTGCTGTCATTAATATATGTGTAATGTTTATGTAATGAACAAGTTTGTGTCAATGTATAATTATGTGTTATGTTGGATTTTTGTTAAAGACAAGTTTACATGTTATGACAAATATGTGTTATGTTGAACAATTGAACAATGTTACAATTAAAACATTTCAAATTAAAGAACCAGAACTGATACATGGTTCAGGGTTCAGCTAAGGCATTTCAAACCATAACTGCTACAATGTTACAATAATACAAACCAAACCATAATTGCATAAAAAACCCTGAGAATTGTTACAATGTTACAATGATAAAAACCATAATTGCTACAATGTTCAAGGTTCGCCTAATTTGAACTACATACTAAAATATTTCAAATCATCATGATAAAAACTAGAAGTGTTGTAACTACAATAACAATGGAGATCCAACAATTTTTCCACTTCAAAATCTTGTTCATGCCATTTTGAAACTGATCCATCTCCTTCCTTTTTCATTTGTCAACCTAACTTTTTCAATCTCCATTGTTGCATCATTCAATTTCTTTGATAACTTTTCCAATCTAACCATTATAAATTGTTCTTTGTCATCTTGAACTTCATCATAAAACCATTCAAAAAACTCACACCCAAGTTGCATTGTACCCTGCAATTTATATTTGATTATTCAAAATTATAATAATCATACAATGTTACATATGACATACATACCTTAAAATGAGAACAACCCCATAAATATTTTTCATAACTCTTTATCGTTGTAGACCTTCAAAAAAATAGTCGTGTCTCCATAGTGACAACTCAGTTTTCATGGTAGATGCGAGCTCGTGAACACACTGAACTTCACACTTTCATGATTGTTCTGTTTCATGGATGAAGAAGCATAATCCGATTTCATGAAGGGTGAACCCTAATCTTCAATTTTTGAGAAATAAAATCAAATTAATATGAAAAAATCCAATGAAGAAAAAGAATAGCAAATGAAAACACAATGATGTAGAAATAAGAAATGATGAAGAAGACAAATCATGTCATTTGTCACGTCTGCAACCCCAAACGTTTGTTTAAAGTAAATGGACGGAAAGGACTAATATACTCTATTTTAAATAATTAAAGAATTGATTTAAATATTTAAAATATTAAAGGACCAAAATAAACTCCAAACTAGAGTTAAAGGAAAAAAAAGAAAATATTTTGAAAGAAAAAATAAAACATTTGAAGTTTCTTTCTTTTCTCATAAATAAACATTTGAAGTTGAAACCTCTTAGTATTATAGTTTTGTTCAATGAAACGAGAAAGGTTGGTCCTCACCTTGACACTATTTGTGGGCCACCCATCATCATTTTAGACCGCTATCTTACGTTTACATTAAATTTGATTTTCTAGAACTCTATCATAAAAGAAAAATCAATTCTATTAACTTTAATTGACTTTCTAGATTGTCCAACGCTTTTTAAACATGCTTTTATAATCGCTTTTTTATCTATCCAACTTATCTTCAAGGAGATTCTATATTCCATTTCCACTATCTCTTTGATATTTGTGTGGTTAAAACCCCTCTTAATGTTGGAAAGGATGGACCGTTAATTTCTATAGGCATAGAGGATAGTGATTGGAGGCCTATTAGGTTCGTTTGGTTCAAAAGAATTGAGGAATATTAATGTAAGAGATGAGAGGAAAATGAAAAAAATACATATTAACTAAATCTAAAAATACATATTAACTAAATTTAAAAATACATATTAACTAAATTTATGTTTGATTTAAAAATGAAAGAGGATAGAAATTTTAAGATTAATTTATCTTTTTACTCTAAATTTTTTAAATACACATATATTAATTAATATACACTTCTTTATGTACTATTTCTTTCTTATAGCTTATGATTTAAGCTAACTAGACATTCTAACATAACACTAAATATAAATTATAGCGCTCATAAGTTGGATCTATAATTTTTTAATGTGAATAATATATATATATATATATATATATATATATATATATATATATATATATATATATATATATATATATATATATATATATATATATATATATATATATATATATATATATATATATATATATATATATATATATATATATATATATATATATATATATATATATATATATATATATATATATATATATATATATATATATATATATATATATATATATATATATATAAGCACGTGAAAAAACGAAAAGAATAAATTATGATATATATAATAAGAGATAAAACAAAACAAAACAAAAAATAACAAAAAAAATTTAAATATAATTTCTTAAGTGTAATTTTTACTATTTTCTAATGAAAATATGACAAGTATATTTAAATATTAGAGAGTGATAATAGAAAAAAATTGCATATGTCAAATAAAAAATTATATAGTTGTCATATTTTTATTAAAAAATAATAAAAATTACATTTAAGAAAATTGTATCTGAATCTTCTTCTAAAATAAAGAAAATGAAGTGAAAAAATTCACGGAGACATGTTAATAAAAATAATAAAATTATTGTAAAAGGACAATAGAAAAAAAAAAAAAAAAAGTTAATGTTAAACATAAAAATTTACATATGGAAGAGAATATTTTCAATATACTCCCTCTATTTTTTTATAAGTTGGTTGTGAGAAAAAAATTATACCAAAATACAAGTTATTTTACAATACTAAAGAATTATTGATGTTTTTTTTTATTGTACCTTTAAATATTTATTATCATTTTTTTTAAATCATTTAAATTTATTTTTCTCCGAGCAATATTATAATACCTTTCATAATATTTTTTTTCCCTCATACAATGAAAAATCTAAGACGAGTTATAAAAAAAAAAGGGAATAATAAGTTTGTTTATAACATCCGTTCACTCTCTTCCAATTTACCTTTAATTTCTCTTTCAAATTACTTTTAATTTGGGGAATAAAAAAGTGTGTTACTAGAGATTCTAATCCTCTCTTCTCCCTTCCCAATCTAAAAAATGAATAACATATATTTAATTTATAATATTCTCTTCCATCCTCTTCAAGAATCCCAATCAAATAGACCCTTGAAGTTAGACAGAATGAACAGTTAATTTCTCATCTTTTTGGTCACACTTTTCTTTAACAATGTTGGCGATGAAAATCGATTTTGGAATAAGTAATGGGAGATGGATGATCTAAACTCATTATGAGAGGCTTATGACTAATCATATATAGCATATATTTGATTAATTTAGCTGACCATTATTTTCACCAATGTGTTGGAAGTAGAAACTACACATCATGTTGTTAAGATGGAAGTAGAAACTATACATCATGTTGTTAAGAGATTATCCCATTGCTTTCGTTGTTTGGACTCACTTGGTTTGACTATATGTTAGAGTTGCTCTTCAATAGTCCTCCTCTCAATGACTGGTTTGAAGACAATATATATGTGGATGTTGGTCTCTTGTCTATCTATGGTCAGTAATTATAATGAAGAAAAGCGAACTAAAAATGAAAGTATAATCAAGCCATACACCATTTGAGCTTAGGTTCTCCTAAATGTTATAAAAGAAAAAATAAAAATACATTTCTATAAAAAATAAAAAATAAAACAAATTTTATAAGGTTTAAAATGTAATTAGGCAGGTGATTGTATTTAAACAAAAAACTCAGGTGCAACAAAAGAAATCACTGCATCCTGTCTTTCCATGTCAAGTAATTGCAAGGATTAATCTTTTTGTCAAAGACAGTAGAGGTTGATACCTTTTCAACAATGACATTACCATCGTCAGTAATTCTATAGTGGACATTGAGTCCCTCTAAAAAGAGGTGATAAACAACTTCGGATGAATTTAGAGAATTCTGCTCTCTTTCATGGACAATAGCTGTTTCATCTTGGTGCTCATCTACATCAGAAGTATCACCTGAGAGTTGATCCTTTTCTTGCTTCGGAATAGCATTATGAGGCCTATTTCGCTGACTCAATGATCGGATATCCCATGATAGAACCTGCTTTAGTAAGCTTTGGAATTCATCTGGTGATGCATAGAGCGACTTCTTTTCCTAAAACAGTAAAGGAAGATCATCACTCAAATGATTTGTATACGAGGAAGATCAAGAATTTGAGAATTGTAAAGAAAAATGAAACAAATCAGATCATCAACAACATACTCATTAGATTAAATCGTTTTAATAGCTTTACTAAGCATATTTTAGTCTTTCTCTACCTATTTAATGGCCTATGAAAAATATGTACCCTGGCAGGAAGTTATAGCCATGAAGAGTTAAATTATACTTAAGAACAATGGAGGTACATATTTTCTGGTATACAAACCAAAGTTCAAACAAATAATAAATCAAAACTGGATTGAGTTTTAGTCGCTATATTTTAGGCCATGTTCATTTCAGTCCCTGATTTTTCAACTTTTTAATTGACCCGCTTAATTTACCATCTGTTTTTAATGATATCCTCACTGTTAATTGTTATCCAAATGAAATAGTTAAGGGAATGTGTCAAGGTTGAAAAAGGACCTTTTTGAGGGTAAGGAAAGATGGATATGATACAGAAACTCAATATTTCATGCAAGAGAATGTCAACTCACTGCCATTATCCAGCAATTTTCAAGTGATGAAGTGAATTCCTCCGAAAAGCTAACAGAAGCTACTGAAAGCAAGTTATCCCCCTGAAAAAATACAAGTATATTGTTTAGAATGAGGTAGTCACTTATTAACATTCTAGAAAAATAGTTGGAAGAAAATACAATAGAACCCATATATTTCTATGCTGACTTTTAATGTGGATCGTATTTTAATGATGCTAGAGTCAGAAAACCTAATAATAAAGTTTCAGAGACTAGTAACAAGTAATGGTGATTGTTTACTTGGTTATATTTCGTTCTTCCCACACGGGGTGATTATATTTGTTATTAGGCAAGAATTGCTTGAAGTTATCAATACTATCAAAGAATCAAAATGACAATCTATTAGAGATATTAAAAAAAAAAAATTGCAGTCAAATATTTTGTAGCACCGAGTACCGACACCTCTGAATAAAGGTGTGTCCGGTGTCCAACATCTGTCGGTGGTGTTCGATATGTGTTGGTGGTGTCCGACACCAGCACACATGATTACTTTAATTTGTTCACTTTTTAAAATTTTACTTGTGGCAACTTGTCAATGGCGGTGTCTGTGTTTGGTGTCCGTGTATGTGCTCCATGGTCAAATAAAGCTAAAGGATAATGAAAAATTACCGTAATCCAATTTGGCACCGCAGCGTCTTGGATGCTGTCACAAAATGGTATATAAGGCTTGACATCAAGCACCGGCTGTTGATGAGAATCATAGGATTAGCATACATTGTCCAAAAGCAACATGCTTTCAAATTCATGGAAAAAACATCAAATTCATAGGTATTCATATATAGCAAATACTCCATCCGTCCCAAATTATAAGAAGTTTTGGGCATTTCACATGAATTAAGAAACTTAATTATTACTATGGGAAAGACAAATTATGTAAGAGTTTATAGTAATGCCCCTCATAATTACATAGGAGAGAGAAATTAAAAGAGTTGAAAGAATAAATAATAATAAATACTTGAGAGTATATCGGGGGAAATGTCATTAATATTGCATTGGAAATGTAAAGTGACTTATAATTTGAGACAAATTTTTTTGGTAAAGTGACTTGTAATTTGGCACATAATTGCTGTAAATTAAGCATAAAAAGCATAGATCAGAAATGGAGACTTACAGTTCCATCAACCAGATCCACACCAGAAAGTAACACCATATCTCCCTGGACAGCCTCTACCTATAGTACACAGTTAAATCAAACAAAAGTTACAATACTTAGCCCGTCATTTTATCTTTTGATTGATTGAAGACCAAAACGTTGAAACACTAGGCATCTGATGGAGGCAACAGAGTACAACAACAACCAAGCTCTTTCCCACTAAGGATCAGATAGAGAAGGCAACAGAGTAACACAATAAAATATTGACCAAAGAAATTCATAGTAGCTGGACGGAAAACGCTTTTTTGTGAGGACAAGGGGTTACTTTGTGAAGAGAGGGGTTAATTTATATAACCTTGGTTTATTTATATTTTCTCTAAATGTGTGACATTCAGTTTAGCAGTTTAAGCTTTATCACTCTACGTTGTTTTGTAAATCCCATACTTCTCCCATAACCCCATCCATTTTATTAAGTGACGCATGAGAGTCACGTGTTTAAACAAATCAGTGTCGTTGAAGTGACTTAAAATATCAGTAACTTTATGTTGGATGTGATTAACACATGCAATTGATAATACAAAGTATTGTATGGATTAGTGTTATTAAGAGCGAATAGCGTAGCGGACAAATTGCGGAAGCCGCAAAGCGGTTTAAATAAATAATTATATAAAATAAAGCATGTTGCACACAAATAAAAGCTACATAAACAGAAATTTAGAAAGTGACTGGCAAAAAACTCCAAATTTCAATAGTTCAAACGCCTAATAAAGCATGACGTATAGTTGCATACATTGCTGCATAAAGCCAGAAACAGAAATTAAAAGTGACTTAAAAAAAGATGAAATGAAGTATGAAGTGAAGAGAGAAGATGGAGAGGCAAAGACGGCTTAGTGGTGAGAGGTTACCTAAGTTGTGGGATTTAGGGGTTATATAAGATCCCATCTTATCACCAATTAACTTTATTTTACTTTTAAGGTTTTTAAAAATATGTCATGTGCATCATATTTTTAATTTTTTATAAGGAAAACATCATAAAAAACAATAACTTCCAATATGCAAGTCATAACCGCTATTACAGTGGTAGCAGAACCGCAATATCGTATCAGCTTTCGTTGTGGTTGCTCTTAATCCTGATATGTAATAGCTGTATAGTGGCGCTATATCGGTTATTTAACAACATTGGTGTATGGATTTTTTATATATATAATAATAACAATTTGTACTAAACCAATACTTTCAGAAGGGGTGACTTTATTTAATGCATATAAATAAACATCATAAATGTTGACACTAAAATTATTTACTAAAAAGTACTGAATGACTTCATTCAAGACTTAAAATGAAACATATATTTACTAAGAAGGGTGTGTAATCTCAAATTCTACTTTAACGAATGTCATAGGTTTGCAAATTTGAACAACCCAACAATGCTAAGGGCCAGTCTACTTTTAAAAACATTTCCAATTTTGCTTTCGCCATGGTATGGGTAGAAGACTGCTGCGTTCAGCAATTGTGATAGAGAGAAGGAAGATGACTAACTAGGAAGCATAAAAATAAAATAAAAGATTTTGGGGAGTTTCCAAATTTCTGGAAATACTGGATCTGTCATCCAGAATGCCTCCTAAAAAATGTATAAAATGCATTCTTCTATGCTTACTATTGCCAATGAAACTGAAAACAGGAACCAATGGAAGTAAACACGCCCTATATTCATTGCGGTTTGCTGGTCTCTAAATTGAATAATATGCATTAAAACAGAGTGATATCAATCAAGAGTAAAATACTATCATTCTGAGGGCATGTCAGAAATATTCCACAGGGCCAACATGTGTCCTTACCTTTGCAACAGTGAGTCCAATGGGGCATGGACGATGTGGGGATCTCGTGCCAAACACTCCCACTCTTCCACCATTAAGTCTAGGGACCTTCACCTATCCATCCACTGATCCGTAAGAAAAAGTTACGGGGAAACAAATATTGAGGCAAGAAGATGATGAATCATATGATATAGATAATATGACATCAATTAACACCAAAATCACTTTCACTCACACACCTTAGCCTTGATTCCCGATTTAGATGGATGCTTCCACATCTTTTCAAGATTGGTATTCAAATGAAACACATATATAATCCAGCAATGAGAATATTCGGATAGACCCTCAAGAGACGCTGGAGGAACACGGCTTGTATTGAAAACCAAACATGCTCTAGCAAGTGGTACAAGTAATGGCTGTCTCGGTGTCCCATTCCTACACTAATATAAAAGCAATGGTTCATGAATCACAAATAGGACACTCTACAGATAACAACTTCAAAAGATGATTATTAATTACTCCCTTTGTCTCACAGTAATGGTTGCACTAGCTTATTTCTTGTATGTTTGGTTTAATTTTTGGAAGAAGCAAAAGCAGGTCTAGAACTGATTCTGGAATGATTTTGATGTGTTTGATTCTTCTAAAGTAGAATTGTTTGGATCATTTAAAATTTGATGGAGCGGAGCGGAATGGATTCCATTCCATTCCATCACTTATCACCATATTTCTTCCCCTCCAATATGGGCGGAATGAACAACTTGCCTTATTCTGTTCTAAAATTTCCAAACAATGGAATGGGGCATTCGTTCCTCTCCGCTCCATTCTGTTCCGTCTCACTCCGCTCCACTCCATTCCGTTCCGTTCATTTTACGATATCCAAACATAAATCACTTTAAATTCAACTCACTTTTAACCAGAATAAATTTTACATAATCAATTCACTCAAAATCAATTTGTTAAGCACAAAACCAAACATACACTTCATATAACCCAGAGTTATTAATAGCGGCCGCTCCAGGCCCTATCCCTGGATTCTCTCCCGGTGCGGCAACCCTCTGCTACGAAGGAGCGGTGCGCATCTCAGTTTTGGATAGCGGACGGAAAAGCTGGGATAGCGGGTTGCGGGAGCAGAGCGCTTCCCAGGCAGGAGCGGTTTTCTGCTTTTAGGGTTTTTTGGAGTACGAAAATATCTTTTTACACTTAAAAAATTATAAAATTGAAAATTTATTATAGTCATTCATGTTTTCTCCTCTCTTATTCGTGTTTTCACCTTTCTCCATCGTGTTTCTTCTGTTCGCTACTTCTCGTGTTTTCACCTTTCTCCATCGCGTTTCTTCTGTTCTCTACTTCTCGTGTTTTCACCTTTCTCCATCGCATTTCTTCTCTTCGCTACTTCTCGTGTTTTTTGCTAACTGCTTCTCTTGCCCTATACCCTCCTCCGCCTCAACTGCTTCAAGCTTCTCTCTATTCTTCTTCTCTACTTCTGTTTCCTGCTTTTCTATTCTGCTCTCTATACTTTTCTTCTCTATTCATTGTTTTTCTATTCGTTTTCAGGTTGTTTTTTCATATAATTAGTCCAAAAAATTATTTAATCTACATTAAATATATAGGTAGATTATTTTTATAATTAATCCAAAAAATTATCCCGCTATCCCATTTTGGGGGCCGGTCACTCCGCTCCACTATCTAGGATTAGTAACTCTTATATAACCTATAAAACATGAACACCAAAAACATGACACCGACATTAACACGTCGCAGTGGTAATGATTTGAAAAAAAAGAATATTATACATAATCATAAGAGTAAATATCGGTGTCAGTTTCGGACAGTGACACGTCTTCTTTCAAAGGCGTTGATCCTGAAGAGCATATAAAATTTAGAAAATAACCTGAGAAATTAAACTATTATTAATTAAGATTTAATAAACTAATTTTTCCAAATTAACCAAGTCCATTGTTGATGAACATTTTTTTTCCACAAATATTATAAAATTTGATAAAAATGAATCAAGAATAATGAAGAAAAATTGAACCTGGTAGAGAAACAAGATTGGATGGTGCCAATGGGGATCATAGGATAATAAGTGAGGTTTAGGTTTTCAGATTTAGGTCGAGTTAATTCTTTTCTCAGCAACTGCAAATGAAAGAATTCATCAATCAGCAAAATAATAATTAAGAAGGGAAATTATTAAAAGACAAGATTAACAAGGAATGTAAGGAGAAAGACCTGTTGAGCCTTAATTCGGCCTCGGCGTTCGGAGGTGCATTGATCGGAGGAAGATTTGAGAGAAGATTCGAGTTCGTGAACTTTGGATTTGAGAGCGTTGAATTTACGCTTGAATATGTATGCTGGGAAATTGAATAATAGTAGGAATTAGCAATAATAGCGTGATGTAAGAGTAGTGGTAGATGCATGCTTACCGGAGATGGTAATGGCGGAGAGTGTCGTTATTGTTAGGGTTACTGCCAACCATCTTGCTTCTGAAATGCTGCTGCAGCTCTGCATTGCTTCACCGCCCTAACTTCAATTCAAACTGCGTAGCGTAGGGTATGCGACTATATGCTCAATGAGTAATTTACTTTCATCTCTGTCTCCATTGAATTGAAAAATTACTTTATTTTTAAAATAAAAAAAATAAAAAAAATTTAGACTTGTATTTTCTAAAGCAATTTAGTTTTTAAATTAGTTTTTACATATGGATGCTCCTTAAGAATCTAATGTTGATATGAAAGGCTCCCGTTAATTTTAACATTAAACATTAAATAATACAATATACTTTTGGATTTGCGAAATAAACAATTTAACGGGAACGCAACGAGTGATTATGAGAATATTTATCAAAATTCTATGAGACAGCTTCTCGTTGATTGAAAGAGCGAAGGATTGACTATTATGTCTTTCAAATAGAGTAATAAGAACTTGAAAAGAATTAGAAGACAAAATTTTTGAAAGATTCTTCACTACAACACAATTCATAGAAAAAAAGTATAAATTACACAGTTCGAAAAGTAAGAGACTAAATCTCTCTATAATGCTTGAGAAAGATTTAAATTGTTATTACGATGGTGTCCTAACCACAATATGAGCAGTATGGAACACATGCAGATTTTTGTGAAGGCCTGTAAATGCAGGCACGAATGCTTTTAGACGCACCCGTTAGAGGAACGATCAAAACACTAACAGAACTACAAGTGAAGGAGTTGATAGAGAAAATGAGTTTAAATGAATATAACTTTGTGAATACCAGAGGAATTCAAAGTGTGGAAACGAAAAATAGCTCTCATAGTAAGTTGACTTTAGGAGGATATGAATAGCTTCTCACAAAGTTGGAAGTGTTGAATTAAAAGGCCAGAATCTGTAAATGAGGTAATGTTCGTTTTATGTACTAACGGTAAGGAAGAACATTTTGTAGGTAATTGCACTAAAGAAAAATTTACAGGGGAAGTACAAGTTATTGCCTCGAGTGTTAATCTGAACGCACAACAAACCGATACAGAATGTAAGCTCTCGTCATTGGAAGATACACTGACTCAATTTATGTTGGTAACTCAAAGTGAACTCGTGAGGATTAATAAATCACAAAACTTATTAAGCGAAAAACATGAGAAGTCAATGAAAAGAATGGAGGGGCAAATGTTTAATCTATCACAGTAAATCACATTATTAGTCCAAGAAAGAGGAAACTGTAATGCAATAGAATTGAGAAATCGCACAATTCCCTTAGCCCCCATTGGTAACACACTAAAAAAATGTTGGAAAAGAACAAGAATAAGAAGGAGGAACCAAAATCCACATCCACCAAATATGAGGTTTCAAGCGAGAATTCTGAGAAAGGAGAGACACTTGATAAATTGATTGATAAAGATTCACCTTTTAGGAGAACGAAAAACCAAATCTTAAATGAACTAAACCCTCATTTATCGGATTACATCCAACCACCTTACCCTTTGAATAAAAAGAAACCGAAAAGGGAAATGGAAGTGGGGTAGTTTAAAAAATTCACAGAGATGCTCACGGCATTATAAGTGAACATACCATTTTGTAAAACTTTGGAACAAATGCATGTATAATATTCATGAAGGAACTTTTGAATGGTAAACGCAAATTGAAGGATGATGAAAATGTAGCTTTAGCGAAGGAATGTAGTGTCATCATTCAACGTAAATTACCACATAAATTGACAGATCAAAGTAGGTTTACTATTCCTATTTCGATAGGTCAATTAAAAATTGGCAAGGCACTTTATGATTTAAGAGCAAACATAAATTTGATGTCGTTGTCTATGATGATGAAACTGAATTGTGGAGAACCAAAACTTACAAAAATGAATCTAACTCTAGCTGACTAATTTGTCACCTATCCATATGGAGTTCTGGAAGACATTTTAGTAAAGGTTGATGATTTACTATTTCATACCGACTTCGTCATACTAGATATGCTAGAAGATGCCAAAACACAATTGTTCTTAGGAATGCCTTTTTTTTGCAATCGGGCGAGCGTTAATTGATGTGGAAAGAGGCGGGTTGATTCTCCAGTTCAATAAAGAGCAGGTAATATTTAATGTTTTTGAAGCTATGAAACGTGGTCAAGAAGATTTACAATGATACCAAATTGATTTTATTGACAAGTTAATAGAGAATGTTTCGAAAGAAAATGGGCTTGTCATCTCCAACAAAAAAGGTTCTAGTGTAATCTATTGAAGAAACAATGTCGAACAATGAGCATGAAGAGGTCAAAGAGGTGGTTCTAGTGTAATCTTCCATATCTCTTTCTGAAGTCTTCATGGTAAGACACTAAAGCCACCAATTTCCTTAACTCTGTTAAATCTGGTTTCTTGAAGTTGTACTTTCGAGTGTTTCTTTTTCCAAAATCCACGACCTAAGGTTTTTGCAATAAAGACAACAAATGAGTTTCTCAAAACCAACTGCATGAATGCTTATAATGGGATGATGAGATGATGCACAAGCAACACATACACAAGTATTCACACTTTCACATATATAATACATATGCGCACAAACAAAGGTCCTAGGTTTAGGTTACAAGCATGGAGCCATGGTATACCCTTCTCAATAGACGTGGACTATGGGTTGTTTGTACCTGCACAACGAGTTCTACAAAGTTCCCAAATTCATCCATAAATCTTTTAGATATTATTAACCTACATGACTACTCATGTGAGTCAAAAATATTCTCAAGATAAACTCGTTTAAATGTAGTATCGTGTATCAACCATTCGGGACTACTACCTCATAGTCATCGCACTACATCTTAAAAAAGGCCAACTGGGGTAAGTGGGTAACTAACAGGTCCTCAGTTGCGGACTCCCAGGTCGGAGAAAGTAATGAACGTACGACTACTCATATGCCATCAGTAATCCCAAAGGGGCCTCAACTGAGCATGGTTACATCATATGTCAAACATGTTAGGACTACCCCCAACCGTCAACTATTGATCATACCATAATCCTATCATAGGTATACACTCGAGTCTGGGCTAGGACTTATCTCACCTCTCGAGGTAACAACCCAATGCACATATGCAACATAAAAGGTATAATATACAAATATTCATAAATATACATGTATAAAGCAAACAGACATGAACAAAACACAACTGCAAACAAGGTGGGCTTAACCCTCTTAAAAAACATCCCCGGTGAAGTCGTCATTCCTGTTGCGGTGAGAATCGAATATCAAGCTATTAATTAACTTGAACCACAAATATTTAAATATTCACCACCTAGCTTTAATTTATCCAAAGGAAAGGGTATAGATCGAAGAAAACCTTAAGTATGCTACATAACAACGAAGTTAAGAGATCGGGGGTTCGGGGGTTGGTTATATCAAGGGAAGGTATTAACACCCTAAGTATCTGTAGTATTCTACAGGAGCCTCTTGTTTGGTAGTTGTATTATTGTTAATGTTTGTCTGCTAATGGTTATATGCTAAGGTAAATACCTATGGGTATATGCACTAAGTATGCTCGCCAAGACGTCGCATCTCGTACCTACGTATCCTTACAAGGATGGAATCAGAGCAACCGTAGTTATCCTAACTAGGGAGAGAACTCTTGACTATGGTCAAAGTTCAAAGGGAATAAGCATCCATAATAATGATACTTATATAGAGTTAACAAACTCTCTAAGTCTAAGTTGAAAGACTAACAGGAGGTTTGACTTTAACAAAAGCCAAAAGGGGAAAAAGTGAGTACCCATAACCATGGTACACACATAGAGTTAACGAACTCTAGACCTAAACTCTAAGTTATAGGATTCCTAACAAGGCATGCTAAAGGTCTTGACTTGAAAAAGTAAAAGTGTAGTGGGTTCTAACTTAAGGCTAAATTGAAAGTCCTAATGACCCTAACAAGGTCAAAGGGAGGTTTGAGAATAAATGAGCTATCTATGGCATTGAGTCAATAGAGATACTTTCCTTTTGACTTAGGAACACAAGGCAACTCTTTTTTAGGATGAGAGCTAACAAGCTACATCACTTGGGGGAAATTTAGCAAAGCTTAAGCATTTATATACATTCAAACATGATAAATATATAAAATTATGGTAACAACCAAGAAAGTAAAGCAAGCATGTGACAACATCAAGCAAAACAAATAACAGGGTTACAACTAAATATTCATCCATATAAGTTTTAGAATTAAACCAAATGGTTACAACTAAAGGTAAACATAGATGTTACAACATCTAAATGGCTGTGAAATAAGGTTCTTACATGACCAAACATCATAGATGACAAGTACAAGTGAATCATGCATAAGTCAAAACATTACTTATCATGGCAAAGTTCAAAATTCAAGATCAACATACATAAATCATAAAAATATTTAAGGCATGGATATAGATCAAGTAGAGATGAAAACTAAAACATCTTGGAATAATGGTGGGAAATGTGTGACAATAACATGTGAATTTTGGTGAATCATATTAAACAAGAAGGTAAGAACTTACATGTAAAAAGAAGTTCAATCATGGAAGATGAGAGACATCTCAAAGGTGTTTCATGCATACTAAACATATTTCAAAGCAAAACAACAAGTGTTCAAGAATACTCAAGGAAAGATATGAGAGACATGAAGCATATGCACATTCAAATCATTTGATTATGGAAGAAAATCACATGTTAAGGGCAAGGTAACAACCAAGTTTTTTATGATATTCAAACATGCATTCACATATGAACATGAACTTGAAGAAAATAATAACCATCATGTAACAACAAGGGAATGCAAATTCAACACATCAAATAAGGTTCATACAAGGTGTGTGAGGTTTATACAAGCAGGGAGAATTAAAGGAATCAATTAAAAGGATCAAAAGAAAACCTAAGAAACCCTAAAAAAGTCACATACTTTAAACATACAGAAGTACCAAATAAATAATTCTTTTGGGATTTTTCTTGACATAGACAAAAAATAGACATTCTTATGAGAATTTAGCAAAAAGATTGGGATAAAAATGATAAAAATCAATGGAGTTACTATCAAAT